TTTAAACTGTATATATTTATAATTATACCTCTTCCAAACTGAGCCTAATGAATACAACTATATATGACTAATACTTTCTACCGCTACGGTCGAGAGTAATTAGCAAGTGGGTCTGGTTCATATAGAGAGAGAGATAAATAGATAGATAGATATAGTTGGACTTGGTCATAAAGATGATTGTAGGGAGCAAGACATCATGATCTAAAATTATTGTACTAAATCTATATGATAAAGAAAGTTGAAGGTTCGTTGTGAGATACAGGCATCCAGTGGGTTCTGATCCTTGTTACCAATTAGCCCACACAAACACTGTACATAGGGGTTGCCTTGTGGGTGGGGTGAGGATCCCTACATAACACCCCTTGTGACAATCCACGCATAGCAGTTCATAATGATTCCCCGGCACCTTCCACACCATTTCACCTTTGAAAAGTGGCACTGCTGGCTCATTCTTTTATTGGATTTTAACCGATTACCAATCAATTATACTTCATTAAAGCAGGAGTCCGTTGCTACATACTCCTTGTGGTGGGATCTGTTAGATACCAAACCAACCGAAAAATCGAATTGGTTGGTGTGGTATTTCTTGAAAACTGACAGTTTATCAAACCAATTGGGGTATATATTGCTTTGAATGGTTGGACCATTTGGCCTAGGAATCGTTCAAGCTATTAGTTTTATTTTACCTCAAATCCGGTTTCTGGCCAAAAACTATTGAATCGGTCAATGATTCGTTGATCTGGGTGATTGAATTATCGGTCCCGTTCAACAGTTTTTTACTGTTTTTAAATTTTAATTATTTTTTAATTTATTTTGTCAGAACGGGCCATCTGTTTGGACCAGACGGTTGAATTGTCAACCCAGAAACCGATGGCTAGAATGGTTTTGGTTTTGGGTCACTTTTTAAAACATTGATTTTATGTATATTATATATATATATTATATTTTCTATATATTATAAATTAATAAATATGCGTTATATGTAAATATATGTATATATATATATATTTATAATATAAAATATATTATTTATTATTTCATATATAATATTTTATATATTTTTATAATATATAATTGTAAATTAAAAAACAAAAAATTGACGAACCGAACTGACGGTTAATCAAACCGGTCAACCGGTTAATCGATCGACTTCCATTCAGTTTCAGTTACTAGTTTTGTAGAAATCAACAATACTAGTTCGGTTTCAAAAATAGGCTCACAGTTCGGTTTACTGAACCGTGAGCAGCCCCTACCTTGAAGCATGTAAAAAAAAGCAATAGATCTCACTCAAAGGTAACCACTATGCTCCACATGGTTTTCAAAACCGGACCAAACGGTCATACCAGAAAAATAAAAAACTGGTTAGGTAACTGGTTCTGTTTTACCCTAAAACCACTTTTTGGTCAAAACCATTGATTTGGTCAGCGATCCATTGGCCTAGGCGGTCAAACCGTTGAACCATTCAACCATCGACCTAACAATGGTTATTGCTCATTATTTATTTACTTTTATTTTATTTTTTAAGTTAGAACATGTCATCTGTTCGAATTGGACGATCAAACCCTTCGACTTGGGAATTGATCTTCAGAATGGTTCCCTGTCCAGTCCGGTTTTAAAATCCTTCATGCTCCAAACATATATATACATGTCTCATAGAAGTATTACTACAACATGAAAATGAATAAATAAATAAAACCTTATTTTGGTTTAATATGGTTTGAACCTTTCCCTACCTTTACTTTCAAACCAAACACAATACAGCTTAAGTCTATAAATAAATAGGGTGGTAACAGGTAATCCCTGAAAATATTTAATTCATTGCACTCAGAATACCTTAATACTTCATAACTAACTATCTCCCTTTCCATTTTGTTCAATTTCTTCTCCTCTAGTTTTATATTTTAAGCTATTAATTTTCATTATTTTATCAATCTAATTCCAAACCGAAAAAACCTTAGAATTTCCAGGCAATTTGAGCTTGAATTTTGAATTGAAAATGTCTTCTATAGCTATGAAGAGAAAGAGGTCAGTTCAACCTTAACCACTACCGCAACTTGGCACTTGCCAGCTCCGAGAGGGAGATAGCTAGAGGACCAAATGGACAAGCTACCAGCCTACCACCTACCATTGATTGAATCTGCAATATATCGATCACCTGGTGGGCCAATCTCGGTTGCTCCTCTAAATCGATGACCATCTCTCTTCCCATTTAGGTTTGGCAAAGAAGAACAAGCCTTCATAAAAAACTTTCCAGGTTTTTTGTCTTCATTCTGGAGATAATTTCGACAGGGTACATAGCTTCACAATAATAAATTAATGATAGCTTCTTTTTTTCTCTCCTGTACTGAGATTACAGAGACAACCGTAAAAGGCTAAAAACAAACAAAGAAAGAAAAATTGGTTGGAGGGAATTTAAAATGCAGGCAATTATTAGTTTTTATATAAATCCAGCAAACCTTGCTGCTGCTAGCTACTAGCTAGATCAGCAGAACTGTAGAACCGCCATCTGTTGCTGTTGCAGTGTTGCGTGTAGGAGACACCCCTTTGGCCTTTTGCTGAATTTAAATGCAGGAAACCGTTACGAGAACGTTGAAGTCCAACGTTTTATTTGGGAATTTCAAACTTTTCGAACGTCGAAATTTCAGCTCGATCAGCTGCCCGTTGCCATTTGATGGTCCCCCAGCCTCAATTGGAACGCCTGCACATGCTTGACCTCTCACAAGCTTTGGTCGGAGACTCGGACTTGGACCAGATTGGACACAGACACAGTGTCCATCGACCATCGGTATCGCCATTTTACATAAATTGAACGCCAAACAAGGAATATCAAGCAAATCACAACTCACACTCCGTCACTTTCAATTTACTATAAGCCTCTCAATCGTCCCTCTTTGAAAAATCTGATCAGATTATTGGTTGGTCATCATGAATCTCTTGATCCTCCACCCTTTCCAACAATAAACAATATTGCCTTTATATGCATTTTATTAAAGTTGATTGCTTTAAATAAATAATTAAATATCAGTTAAAGTCTCGTATGCTTTGGCTTTGAGTCTTATGGAAGCTATTTTTAATAATATTTTGACCTACTTATTTAATTCAATTTGAATTAAAATATTAATAAGTTCGGAATCAAGTTTAAGTAGATTCCTTCGGAATTACTGCCCTTCTTGTTTATTGCCCGACGCCTGATGAGCAAACTCAAACGGTCAAACTGCCCTTTCAAAGCCGTGTAAAATTGGAGTTTACATTTGCGCCCCACAATGTCCAACATCTCCCATGATAGTAACAAAATTGATCACATCGGAAAATATTCTCAATACATGGTGGATGTATTGTGGGGCGCAGATCTGAACTCGTAAAATTGGTGGTTATGTAACCTGTTTATTATACACTGGCAAATAATAGATCCAGGCTTGAGACTCCCCACAACCTGTGGACGTGAATAATTCAAATCAATAACTATAACTGTACTTTTTGTGTTATGGGAGAGTCCGGATTTTCATTTCACAGCATGTATCAGTCATATATTGAAAACATCTCCCATGCTTGTACAATTGTATATATGTTATTATTTATGAGAGATATTCGTAATAGATGGTAGAGTGTATCTGTAAAGTCGAGATATATAAGAAGCGCAATGTGAGAAGCAGATATTAATTCGTGAGGTGCGACTGTAAGGTCGATATAAGGAGAGCTCTGTGAAAAGCAGATCCTAATTGATTATTAGGGGATGCTAATCAACTATAATGCTCCATTTCAGCCATCAAATGAATATGTCCCATGACCACTTAGATATCTCACAAGAGACGGGATGGGCTTTCCACACAGCACTCTTCACATGCGCCCCACAGTCCATTCCGTATGTGCAAGGTTTTAAAAATTGGGCTGGACACGAAACTGTTCTGGGGGCTGGTTTTTGAGCCGAACAGTCTGACCATCCGATTTGAATGGATGGCTCATTCTAATTTAAAAGAAAATAAAAAATAAATAAAATAAAAATGGATAAAAACCATTATTCGGGCTGCCGGATTGAAGGTTCAATCACTCCGATCAATAAATCATTAACCAAATTAATGGTTTTGGGCCAAAAGGGATTTTAAGGTGAAATGGAACCAGTTACTAACTGGTTAATGGGTCAACCGGTCCAACCGTTCGGTTTTCAAAACCATGCTTATGTAAGTTTGGAACTGTTCCAAATGGAACATCTACCCATGACACAGGGAAGATATTCCCGAAGCACGGGGGAGATGGGCCATGGGAACAAGTGGACACGCTAGTGTTTGGGTTGGTCTCTCGTGGGCTTCATGTGTGGGGAACAGTGACACGTTAATTGTGATAGATTGCTCAATCCATTGTACATGGTCCCATATCTCACTTTGGCACATGGCTGACGTGGGGCGTTATTATTAATAAAACAGCCCTCGAGTACAGGTAATCTGCCTGTAATAGGCCTTTGTTATTAATTAAACAACCCTTAATAGTGTGCAGTGCACTTCATTCACCATTATGAAGCGTAATAACAATAAAAGACAGGGGCATCGATGTCAAAGTAATATTAACCACACCATGCTTCCTCAAAGAATGGGTGAGAGAGCCTGAGAGGGAGGGGGAGCACGGAGCAGACAGAAGACACATTCAATGAGAGGGAGAAGGGGGGAAATCTGTAGAGAAGGCCAATTAGACAGTGCCACGTGGGAGCATAAGGAGGCACCAGCTGGCAGCAACTGGGCCGACAGAGAGTGTGGCGATCGTAGCGGGGAATAAACAGGACGATCACATGGGAGGTGGGGTTACATATTACAGACTTGCAGGGTGGGGGTGGGGGTCGGGAAGCGAGACACGCGGGGCGGGCCCCACAAGAAGAGGACCGGCCGCTTAGTGGCACGCCGGTTTTGTCTCTCTGCCTTCTCGTCTCGTAAAAGACGACGACGAGGAGAGAGAGAGAGAGTACTACGTCACCACTGACCAGTATAAAACGACACATCCATGGACGTCCCAAGGCTCTCTTGCTCTATCCTTCACACACACACACTCTCTCTTTCTATATATATCATCGCTTCCCTGCCTCATACCCTTTCTTCTGTGGTTCTTTTTTTCCTCTTCTTCCTCCGTCTCGTCTTCTCTCTCTGCGGCTCTCCGGAGCCGATTTACAGAGATTTCAAGCTTCCCTACTCGATTTCTTCCCTTCCTTTGCGAAAGAGAGTTCGCAGAGAGAGAGAGAGAGAGAGAGAGATCTCCAGGGTTTCGTACGAACAGCAGAACAGATAACTAGGGAAAAATGGCTGTTTCTAGGGTTTCTTTCGGAGTAGTGGCCATCGTCGCTCTCATTTTCGCCGTTGCCTTACCTGCCGTCCAGGCTCAATCCGTGGCTCCTGCTCCCGCTCCTACAAGCGACGGTACATTTTTTGTTTCCGTTTTTTGGTTCCCATTTCATTTTTTTAATCTTTTCGTAACATCATATTTTCGGTAGATTTTCTTTGTTGATGATTCTCATTGTTTACTTCTATGTGTATATGGAATTTGTCTTCTTTATCATCACGTTGCTGTGAAATGGAGCATCCGGTGTTTTTGGTCCATGAGTTCGAATAACTATCAATGTACTGTGTTTCATCTGCATGAGACGGTCGTTACTGTTCTTTCCTGTTAACTTCACAAAAATTTTCTCCCTATTCTAGGCTTCACTGTTAAAAATCTTGCTTCCATTTATCCGGTGTTTTTCGCTACAGATCTCCAATTTGCTCTCTTCTTTCTATTAAAAGAAAGTTGCTTTTCATTCATCCTTTGAAATCTATTTTAGTTTTCGGCATTTGCTCTCATTTCATTTCCTCCTCTTGAGGGTTGTGGCTTTGAAATGTCTTTAATCTTTTTGATCTCCAACATTTAACCATCTTGTTATTTTCTAGATCTGTGTAAGGTCATTTGAATGTATCTTTGTTCAACATTCCACTACTTTATTAGTATTTTATCTTGCGTCTTTGCTCTGTTGATCATTTTCAGCGGTCAATCATGAATTTTTTTTCTTTTGCTTGGTACTCAAATTCCTCCTCTCCACGACTCCACGACAAAAAAAAAGAAAGAAAATATAAAAAAAAAATCCTTTTTCCATTGTTTGAATTCTTTGGTTGTCTTTATTGCTATAGAATAGATGGTGATGGACGTGGTTGTGTTTCGATACACAGGAACATCAATCGATCAAGGGATTGCATACGTGCTGATGTTGGTGGCGCTAGTGCTGACATACCTCATCCACCCATTGGACGCATCCTCTTACAATTTCTTCTGAATGTGTTGATCAATCATCAAAGATAAGAGGATGGAGGGGGTGCTACTCTACTATACAGAAGATGGAGAGAGCAAAGTAGGTGGATGGTGTTGTAATCATAAGAATACAAATGATGATGATAGTCTCTGGGTGGTTGATCTGATGGTGATGGTTGACATATTTCTTTTGGATTTGGGTTGGTGTAATGTGCTTGGGGGAGAGTTGAGTTAGTGTTGTTGCCGTGTAGGAGAAAGATTTCTCTTTCCTTGGTCCCTTCTTCTTTTCTTTTCCATTCATGTCTTCTCTTTTGTATTCACTTTTGTTTGACATATTCTTTCTTCATCTTTTTTTCTGATTAGCTCTTTTCTTTCTTTTTGTTAAATTCAGACTATTTATTTAATTTCATCTGTTGCTTCACTCATTTCCTGTCCTTTGCGGTTTATAAACTAGTCCTAGTTGAAAGCAAAGGATTATTGGTCCATTTATAAGGGAAAAAAACAGCCTGGGGCTCTCTGGGGGCTTTTCTGCAAGTACGTGAGACATGTCACCACGCTACCCAATTACAATTAGTTCCTTGTTTGTCTTTTTATTAAAGACACTATTGATTATGATTACATTTTTACACGACACCCATGCCAAATTTGTCATGCACATGCACATGAAGCTTCCGCTCAGTTTGGAAGGAATACAAATACAAATATAAATATGTAGAGTTCAAAATATTACAAACAGCCCATGACCAAAACAAACTAAAATACCACCATTCGCCAGACATAAACGATGGCAATTTCATTCCCAGTCCTCAATAAACTACTACTATCAGTCTCTGACAACCAGATCACCCATTGAGGACCCATTGCCTTTTGTGGAAGTAAAACGAAACCCTTTCATGGCATCTTTCAAGATGAATACTTCCATTGCATTGTATGCACGGTCAGCTTTTTCAAAGGATCGATAGTTAATTCTTTCTAGTTTGGTCACTTCTATGGATGACTTTTAGTTATATGTATTGCCATTATACATGTTTGTCATTTTAGTTAGAAAAATAAATGTGTGAAAAACATCAATTTTGAGGTGGAAAACTGGAAATGGCAATTTGTATTAATCATCATCATGGACGGGGTCTATGCTGGTCTTAATATAAGGTATATAATATAAAAGGTATGGTACCGAGTGTACCGTAATTCATTTCAATTAGAGAATGTGGCTTCTTTGGAGTAAGTTTAAATTCACGGGGCCTTCCATGCCGTTTTGATACAAAAGAGTCATTCTTCTGAGTGTGGAATTTGCCCAACGAAAAGGGAATATGATTTGTGGGCCATTCACGTCTTATCTATGAATGATTTGCCTGGAAGCCCACTTCTTTTGTCTATGTTGCGGACATATAAACCGCCACAAAAAAATATGAAAATTATAAAAAAAAATAATTGTTTTTTAATGCAAGAAAAAAACCTATAATACGATTCATCAATGATCTACTAAAGCGCATTGATCTATGAATAATTTATGTCAAAAATATTTTTTTAATATTTTAAGAAAAATAAATAATTATATATTCCAAATTCATTGATCTACTACACTTTTATGTGTCTTATAATGAATTTTTGGTAGATTAGAATCTCAGAAATTGTTTGCTGCACTATTTATAGTAAAGTTATTGTATAATATTTACATGTTCTAAACTCTTGGTATTGTTAAGTGTAATATATCTCTTTATATAAACTATTAAAATGTGTGTTTCTTATGTGTTTATACCTTATTTATAGTTATTTCAACTTTAGATTTAGTGTAATAGTGCTATTGATTTATGAGATCTTATAAGAGTTTCTTCATACATTCAAGTGGATTCATATCTTTCATTGTATTCATGCATATCCAAAGTGTATCTATATTGGCATCCATACTTTCAAATATGATATATGATTACAAATATTTTGAACCTTGACCATAACCCCACCCCAACCTAACAAATGTCTAACACAAAACATGGTGAATTCGAGTTCCTTTATGTCATCCTTGTGGTAGTTAGTGCCTTTGAAGGTCATTCTGTTAAGCCAAACCATATTTTTGGAACACTTTAGATCTCCTACCCACAAACTTTTGACCACGTCTCTGTCAACTACACACTACCACTATGTATTGGGAACATCTCTTCATGAATGACAATGGACATATTCCTAATGTGCATCTGTAGTGTCTAGCTTAGGGTAGGGATGTGAGAACAGTTTGTGGGTAGGAGATCTAAGCTCTTTTTAGAAAGGGAAAATCTATGATGTGGAAAAGATATGGTATGGGAAGAGTTTTGATCAATCAAAACTCACCCATGAATTTTGATAAATAACACCTGATTGACTACCACGTTTATGATTCTAATTGATTGGTCAGAAAATTTTCAGATATCATATTTTTTCCATATCATAGTCGAACCCTTTTAGAAAACAACTTTACCTCAATTTAAACCCTGTTTGGTTAGGCTATGACTGGGCTTCTGAAAGCCATAAAGCTCAAGAAAGATCATTTATAGTTTGGTAAGATTTTCTTTGAAAGCCAAAGTTCTGTGAAAGTTAAGCTCAAAATAGACAAAAAATAGGAAGTTAATTGAAGCTTTCTTCCAATCTTATGGCTTTAAGCTTCCATTCTATAACCAATGTTTTAAAAATACTCATAAATGGAACCACCTTTCCTTTGGGTGGCACTAGTGATTCAAATATATAGGTCAAACGCTTCAACCCATGACATAATAAATTAAATAATAAAATATAAAAATAGATAAAAATGTAAAAGTACAAAATAAATGTAGAAATTTGCAAAAGGGGGCATGAATATCCAACATTATATATCCATCATATTAAAAAAATATGACAAATGAGAATTATTGTTATTTATGGAAATGAATTAAAATAATTGAAAAAGATAATTAATGTCAAACGAGTGACCAATTATAAAGGTCAAATGGTTCAGTGGTTCAATTGGCCAATTACTTTGTCATTAATCAAATCAACAAATTTAGTCATTAGTTTTTTGGGGGATAAATAGACCTATAAGGCTAGAAACCTGGTCAGGTGATGGGTCAATCTGACTACTTTATTCAATAACATGTTTGAAAATGTTGTTACAATTCATGAATCTTTTTGTGTGAATAGGTACGCACCATGTTGTTATATCAAGCAGTCCAACCATCTAGTTGACTTGTTCAACTCTATTGGATTAAGAATCTAAGAAAAAAAATGATAAAGAAATAATAAAGAACTTTGGATTATCTTTTAAAAAACTTTTTTTTTATCGAAATAAGATTAAAATTTTAAATGTTATAGGTTATAACATAAGCTTAACCATGTATCTAAGGTTGATCTCGAGGGCATTCCAACAGCCATTATAGTCTTGTATTGGGAATATCTCCCCATGAAATAAAGCAAAGAAGTATGGAGATGTTTTCGATGCAAGACTGTAAAGGCTGTTCGAACGGGCAGATCTCGAGGGCATTGATCGAGAAAGCTATTTTTATGACAACTACAATCTGGAGAAGATGCAAAGAAATTTTTGGTGAAAAGGATCTATATCAAATACCTACGGACATAAGATGTCCTGGAAGTCTATCTGCAAACTAAAAAAATGGACTGGGAATCAGATCATGTGAATCAAGGAACAAGGCTCTATTCTCAAAGCAAATATGGAAGCTTTTGAACAAAAATAATGACCTATGGGCAAAACAAATTCATTCAAGATATCTCAAATGAAATAGTCTCTTCTCTTACAAAATAAAGAACAGGAGCTGTATTGAAAAATAGGAGAAGGAGGTAGAGCCATGCAATAACTGATCCGTGGATCCCTTGGTCAGTGAGTAATAAACCTCTTTTTAAACCAAATATTTGTAATAATACACAAGTGACAGATTTGAAAGTGTCTCATTTCATTACTGATCAGGGTATCTAGAATAGACATCTATTAAATAATTTTTTTTTTTCTGAAGCTCCCAGCGTGGATAACATCCTCAACGTGTCCAGAAACTCTTCAACTCAAGAGGATACTATAATGTAGATTGTAGAATGGTCCAAAAATGGTTCCTTCTCTGTTCAATCAGCCTATAGAACATTCATTGCAAGACATGGAACAAGCTCTAGCAGGTCAACAAATTGGACGAGGATATGGTCTTTACTAGCTCCTTTCAGATGCCAGATTTTTGCTTGAAAGTATAATCTAAGTGCGATTAAAACCAAGCAAGCAAACTGGAGCTTTTTGAAGAAGAAATGACACTTTATGCACTTTCTGTAACAATGTGGAGGAACCCAACTGCATCTCTTTTTTATTGCAGCTTCTCCAAAGCTGTTTGGCTTCAAGCTCAACTGGGGTATAAATCCAAAGAGGTTAACAATTGAAAACCACTTCAATTTCATAGAAAATTGGTATGTTGACTTCGATGGTGACAAACACAGTAAAAAAGAATACCTTGCAGAAATTTTAGCTACCCTATGAGGTATATGGGACATCATAAATAAGGTTCTCTTTAGAGCATGGTTTTGAAAACTGGACCGAATTGGACAGTCAGACCAGTTAACAACCCGGGAACCAGACATGGATCTGGGTCCGGTTTTAGATCCCAAAACCATCTGACCCGGCATCAGACGTGATGGGATGACCTGCCAACAAAGCATGTTCCAATACCCTCCCAACATGATCTGACACCACGCATGTTGCAATGATACTGTGACCCACCATAAAAGTGAGACCTGTCATGTATTAGATGTGTGGTGTCAGATCACGTTGGGAGGGTGTTGGAACACATTTTGTTGGTAGGTGATCCAAACTCGCATCAGACCAGGTGGTTAGATCATTTCACCCAGGTCTGGTTTTTAAAACCATGCTTTAGAGGACTTAAACTTGATCCAGTAGCTTCATGTCTCCATGGTAGACCCGGGACTGGTTGACAATCATGTCTCCATGATTGACCAGGCGGTTAGACAGTAGCTTCATGTCTCCATTGTGGTTCTGGGTCAATTCCAAGGTCTAACCATGAGTGCTGTGCTTGGGTTTAAATCTTCACATCCCTAAAAATATTTTGGGGTTTATTTCAAGGCTAGTTTGGTTTCAAGGTAAATTCCACCAAGGCCAACCATGATTGGTTTGAGTAGGGTAAACCCCTAGACCCTAGAACCGACCTGGATTGGAATCGGTTCTAAGAATTTGGTCCAAGGCTGGTTTGAGGTCGATTCTATTCAGTTCTGAATAGACCCTATCCATAGAAGCTGAACTTCAGGCAATCGTTAGGGGCTTACAGAAGCTGCTCTCCGTCAATTTTGTCATGATGTTCTTTTTTCTAATGCTTTAGCTGCTCTTTGTAAGATTAAAGGAACCATGGGAAACATTACGTGGAGTGAACAAGCCCTTCTTGATCATATGTAGAAATGTTGTAAAAAAGGCTCATGCTATGGCTAGAGTAGCCACTAGTAAACGTTCTTTTGTATGCTACTGTACAAAGGGTTATTGATGCATCCTTGTGTTTTGACTTTTGAATGGTTCCTTTTGCCTTAAAAAAGAAGAATGTTTTTTCATCATTTACCATGTGATGTTAGGTGAAAAGAAAATATTTGGAGAGAAATGTTATTGATACGATACTCTCGATATGAAATGTATTGTATCTGTATCTATCGCCATGAATATGAGATATGCCACAATTGTATCCCACGAGTTGTGTGTAATATCTTTCGTTCATGACTATACATTATTAAAGTGCATTTATATCTGTATCCGTATTCAAGCTAGCTGATAAGATACCTAATATTGATACTTCGATCCTTCGTATTATCAAACAAAGTTTTGCAAGCTTTATCTTTAATAGGCCAAGTGTCTTTATTATGGAATAGAAAAGTACCCCAATCTTCCAGCAGTATAAATTTCGCTATTGATGGTTCAACGGTATTTCACAAAATAAAGAAATAATATTTGAATTTTAAATTAATAAAAAACACTAATGAGATTAACTAAACCAACTGTTTTCTCATTTCAAAAAATGGTTATTTTCAAAATTTTTCAATTAAAAATAGTTAACTGACAGATGACCACTAGCCCCTTGACAGAAGGGATGAGACACGAGTTTTGGACATATGAGTGGATCTAATTGATTGCACAACACATCGTACAAGAATCGCTGTATTGCAGATCCGGACTCGTTTGAAAGTATCTAAAACAAAGCAACGTATTTTTTTTTTTTATTTTGACTTTTTATGAATAAAAAAGAAAACCAGAAAAGAGGTTTCAGTTATAGACTTATAGCACAGTACAATACCAAAAAAAAAATATTTATAGCACAGTAACAGCAAAGAAGTGAGCTCAGATCTTCTAACCACAAGACTCTATCACACCCTAACCACAAGACACTACAGGAACATCTCATGCAAGTCTTGTGTGTAGCAACTCCAAGATCCAAAGAAGCTACCAAATTTGTTGCAGGGGTAAAGCTGAGCACATCTGTCCCTCCCCAAACCCCACATTGGTGGGAGCATCATGGACTGGACTGCCCTTTTAGTGGAACTTTCATCCGTCTTCCCAGAGTAATAAACTAATAATATCCTGGTCTGTGTTGAAGTGTGGCCTTGCTTAATCTCCCAATGTTGAGGTCTACGATTACAAAAAAAAAAAGAAAAAATGTTGGGATCTACCATTTCACCATGCTTAACCAATCACGCCAGTGTTCTGTACACATGGTAGGATTCTACATACAATGTGGCAAACAGCAGATCCAGGATACTGGTAGTGACCTAGTGAGACTAGTGGAAGGCTTGGCTCAGTCAGTGTTCAATAATGGACATAATGGGCTTAAAATTGGTGTCAGGGCCATAAGGTTATTGACCGTGCTCAGGGCAGGCAAGGCAAGTACGTATTCAAAGCCAACCCATTCTTTGAAAGAGTTGGAAATTGAAATATCATGAAAGAATTGTGTGTACCAGTCTCACCTATAAATGATTAAATCAATCAAATTGAGAAAAACCAAAAACACCAAGCAGATGGTAGGGCAAATGTACTGCCACAGACGGGTAGTGTTTCAAAGCACTCAGCGTATTGAAAGGTACAGTAGCCTTCTAGCACCCCAGGTGCAGTGTCCACCCTTTTCGAAGAAGTAAAGTTTTAAAAAATTTAAAAAATCCGCAAAGACTAAGGCTTTAGGTACTTGAATAAACTATTACCAAAAAATGTGTAAACAATAAGAAAAAAATATAGAAAAGCTTTCACCAATCAACTCCCCCCATCTTAAATTTTGATAAATACCACCTGATTGATTACCCCCTTTTGTGTTGTGATACCAATTGGTTGTTACAAGTTTTTTCCCGAATCATAGTCAGAACCCAAGAATAAAATTTATAACAGTGCTTTTTGATCCATTATTAACCCAACTGGTTGAACCATTCGAAATGTGATCTGGGCGAATGGAATTGACTCATTCAACATGGTGACTTAGTTGTGACTCGTGAGTAGCACACTAACAGAATAAAGTGTATGCAAACTTCCATGGTCAGGTATCAGGTTATCTTTTTTTTTTTTATAACTTTTCAAAATTTATGCATCCCAATAGGCTAAATGTGTCTTACTTCATTATCTTCGCAAAAAAAAAAAAACCCTCAAATTGCAATTTTTAGCATTTTTTACAAATAAAAAATTATAAACCGAATTAAAAATATAAATTAAATATAAAACAATGCATATATTAGATGTAGAATATAATTATACACTAATTATTGATAGAGTGATGATGTGGCATGATCTAACCTGTTCAACCCGGGCAAACGAACCAATGACCCATGACCCAGACATTATATGGCATATATAAAGTTTTAAAAACATAGACTTATAAAGTGATGATGTGGCATGATATGTGTTTATAAGGATGAAACGTATGCTTACAGAACCCCAAACACAACTGTCAAGTGCAGCTAATCCGGACTCCTTGAAGTATGCCTCGCTTGTGAGACTCACTGCACCAGACTGCTAGCAAAAATAATGCTTGCTGAATGCCCGGCTTAATAAAATTTCAAATGTATTAATAAGTAATCTTTTCATAATTACAAGTGCCAAAATTGGATTGGATTTGACCAAGAACAAAGAAAAAAAGATCCGTCAGCACCGTGCCTCAGTCAATGAGGATGGTTCAACCACATTATTCAGATATTAGTTTTGCCTCTAGGTTGTCCTTTGCTCAGTGCTTCACTTCACCGGAAGAGAAGAGAGAGGAGGTTGTTAAGGACTGTAATCTTAGATATTATCAAGAGCTACCATTTTGTCATGATGTTTCACTTCTTTGGTATAGAACATACTTCACCACCTCATAAAAAGAAACGACAATCCCAACTGATGGACCGGCACGACCAACACGTGGGCCAACACCCATGAAGAGCCCCTTTATTCCTCCATCCCTGTTCGACAGTTAAACTTAACTTAGATTCACTTTTTCATTATTCCAAGGTTCATTCAGAGCTGAGAGGCCAAACTACATATTTAACTATTTATTCATCATGGTATGGTACATATAAAGGATCAGAAGATGTTCTTGTCTCTGAGGTCTAAAGAGAGTATTGTAGAATCAGATGATCCTGACAACAATCACTCTCCATTTTGATGGAGAGTAATTAGTGGCATGCTCACATCAAAATTTATTTTTGTGTCAAAATGGTATAGTAATTAGTGGCATGCTCACATCACATAACAAATGAAGTTCCTTTTTCAGTTCTAGAAAAGCCTATAAAAAGGGTTAATTTTGACCATCTGGCAAGGTTTTCTGTCGTAAAATTTATCATTCAAGGATGGAAAGAGAATCCTATTTCTCCTTCTGAGCCCTAAAAGAAGTTGTCACGTGGAAGGTTCCTGGGATGATTAGTGATCTCCATTTTGATGATCTCAGACCCTATATGAGAACCTGGATTCAGGGTCAAAAGAGTCCAACTACTTCTTTTATTGGAAACGGTAACTTCATTAATACATAAGGTTCTTTTAGGACATAATCATACTAAGCGCTTCTATTTCAGCATTTTATTGAAAACTTTACATTATAAGGCCCCATGGGCTTGGATAGTTAACAATATGGCATATCCCAATAATCTCCCATCTGATGGATTGTTTTTGTTGACAGGATTACTCCAGTGACAAAAAATAGGTAGGGTCACCTAAGGAGCTTCCTTAAATGATCCAGGAATCTTACACATGGACCATTGATCTGGCGCCTAAAAGAGCCCTACATGTTCCTCTAATTGACCTCTTGGATAGAAAATTTCAGCTGAGGGAAACTCCAATTAGAGGGTATAAAGCTGATGCGCACTGGGTGAGTGAACAATGGAAAAGTTAAGAGGGTTCTCTATCTGATGGATGGATCGGATCAAACCATAGGATTCCTCCAAACAATGGATGTGGGGCCATCTAGGGAACTTCTTTACTTGATCCAATTAGGCATACATTTTCATGTATTACATAGCATATATCATGTATGTACTAAAGCAAATCATACCTCCAGACCTCCATTAACGTTTGCCTAGTCGTCATTCCCATTGCTTTCCTTGGATCTTTCTGGAAACCAACAAAACTCAAGTCGCTAAATGGAAAACAAAGGTAAATAGTTAATCTATCAATATAGAAGTAAACATATGTTATTAACACATTAAGAGTGTGTGAATGGATTCACCTAGTTGACAGTAAGGTGTCAACTAGGTGAGATCTGGGGATTGGGTCATGCCTTCATCATACTAGCCATAGATTACCTATGGGTTTGGGGGTACATGATCATCCTGAGTGAAACTTCTGGATTTCACTAGGCAATTGGAGCAGAAGGAATTTCAGTTCAAATTCCACCACAATATCCATACACAGATAAATGCAGAAAAAGTGCTATGGGTTTCATCTGTCTTTTGTTTCATTCCCAAGGGAACTGCTTGGTGTGATGGTAAGCTCTTGGGCTGACAACATGAGAATACAGCTTTGAGTTTGAGAGCAGCCACTTCATGCTAAAAACGCTGAAGGTTGGGTCTGTATCTAGTTCACCACTCCAAAGATTCTGGGTGGTTGGGATTAGCACTGGATAATGGCCTTTATGAGAGTTTACCATGTTTTCCAGTTTCCCATAGTTTTTCCTAATCTCATGCAGGTCAGGCAGTCTCATACAACAGTCTATCAACATGCAATGGACCTACCAAATGGCACTAAGTGTGAATATGCACCGGTAGAAGCTATTGCTATCAGTATATACCTGGAAGATATATACACTCAATTTCCTTTTTGTATTTCATTCATACATGTGTAGTAGAAGACTGGACACAGAGACACCTAACTCATCATGACTTGCAGTTTCACATTTTAACTGACAAGCAGAGATGGAGAGAGGCAAAGTTTTTCTTTTCTTTTTTTTTTTTTTTTTGGGGGGGGGGGGTGTTATTGTCAATTCAATCCTGCACCTCACAAGAACTGCATTTAATCATGTTAGTGTTGAAAGTTCACAAGTTCAACTGTGTCAGGAACCAAAGTTGTGGCTTATCAGAATACTAAATAGTTGTTTTGTATTGAGAAAGAACCTCAATTTGTCTTCGAGTTTTCACAACATCCAAGGGACACGTAGCAGCAGCAGCAAGACTACCAGCAATGAAACCAGCAGAGAAATTTGCCCCAAGGATGCTTGCTGCATTAGCTTCCTCACCAACCATAACAAGGATTTTTCTCCTTATCTAAAAGAAAGACAACAAAATAAAAGGGGAAAAAGAGTAATGGCATCAAATTGGGTAGCTAATTGGACAATTTAGAGAAGAGAAAACAAATCCATCAGTAGAACAGAGAAGGATAAAATCTTACTGGCTCAAGGGTTGACCAGCAAATTGCAGAGTAGGGAACATCCCGAGCAAGTTGTGTTCCTACACCTGTCCACAAGATGCGGTAGTTTTGTACTGCAAGAAAACAAATCAACTAAAACACATTATTTGATTAGAAATGGATTGAACTTTCCCATGATACTCACCAATTCCTTGTGCAACCTACTTAATGTTATGGTCATACAGGTCTCATTAAGTGGGTTATAGTATACATCAGATTCTCCTATGGGTCCCAATTTACAAGTGATACACTACATAACCTTTATATGTTAAACCAACAAAATATTTTTTTTTTTCATTCAAAAGTGAAAGTTCTTTTTCTTTTCTGAAATGAAGGAGTTCTAACAACTTGTGGATGCATCCACCAATCCTGACCATAGGGAAATTAGGCTATCAAGTTAAATGTAATGTTCAGTAATTGACTATCTAACTTAAAGGACAGGATCCTGTACTCAGTATAGTTAAACCATCAGCTAGGTGGAGGCCCAATGGCCACTGCCTAGGGGCAAATAACTAAGCATACCCCTTTATGTATTGATATGAGTGCATGTATACCCATTTTTTGTAGTAAAGAAAAATTCATTGAAAGTCCCACACATGCATGCATGCATTTAATGTGCAAATATTGTTTTCTTGCATGAGCATCCATAGGAATAGCATAAATTATTATCCCTTGAGATGGAGCTAGCTGCAGCTAGACAGGAAAGATTTGTTTCAAAGCACCTGCTGAAGATTAATGGCACCCATCCTAAGAAAAGTTTGTTAGCAGTATGTATGTCTGTAACTGCAATGATTATGAAATTTATCCACAAGTACAACTAGAATGTGATCCATAAAGCATGGATGCCAATTGGTAGAATGTCCTCTCTTTTTTTTTTCTTTTTTTGAGTTCCCTCATTTATGTGATCATCATGTTAGATCACAATCTTTTTCTCATTGATATTAACCATCACAAGACCGGACATCTCCTTTGCTGTTAGTGTGGTGAGCCAATTTATGAAGAACCCCTGGATACCTCACTGGGATGCAGTTCTTAGAATTGTAAGGTACCTGAAGGGAGCTCCAGGCCGTGGGTTGTTATACAAACCAGGAGGAAGACTTGAGGTAATTGGGTATACAGATGCAGATTGGGCAAGCTCAGTGTCGGATGGAAGATCTACTACAAGTTACTGCACATTTCTTGGAGGAAATCTGGTGACATGGAAGAGTAAGAAGCAAACCATTGTGGCAAGGAGTAGTGCTGAATCTGAATACAGAGCCATGACACACACTACATGTGAATTAGTATGGCTGAAAAATCTCCTGCAAGATATTGGATTCTCAATGGACAGACCATGAGATTGTATTGTGATAATCAAGCTGCAATTCACATCTCATCTAATCTTATTTTTCATGAGAGAACAAAGCACATAGAGATTGATTGCCATTTTGTGAAGGAGAAAGTCCTTAATGGAGAGATAGCACCGGATATGTGGGCTCAGGTGATCAGTGGGCGGATTTGTTTACAAAAGGCTTAAGCTCAGGGAGAGTGAACTATATATGTAACAAGCTGGGATTATATGACATATATTCTCCAACTTGAGGGGGAGTGTTAGTGTTGGTCGAATAAAGGTAGATTAGACTTTTTTTCATGTTTAAGTTATATGCTGATGTGGCAGTCCTAATATTACTTCTGTAGTCATCTTGTCCCATACTTAAGTGAGGGTAGTTAAGTCTTTGTACACTAATTAGAACATAATTCATACTTATGGTCAACTAGTAGGGTTTAAGCCTACTAAGTTCGACTGTTTCTTCTTCTTCTGTCTCCTTCATTCTCTACTGGGTCAAACTGCTGAAACAACTACTGTCACACTGCACAAGAACTGATCCTGGTTGACTATATGCAACCCTCTAACAAGTGTTTTTTTGTGTGCAATTGATGCATTACCAAGTACTAACATCATTTGAGGTGGGTCAGTGCTTAGTCCTATGGGGTTTTTTTTTTTTTTTGAAACGAGGTAAGATAAATTTTATTCATGAAGATAATCATATAAGGATGGGGGAAAACCACAGGCCAGTTCACCCCCAAAGGATATGATCATAGATCCCACAGACTAACTGAACTAAGCATCAAAAACAAGTTCTGATTACAAAAATCAGGGATGATAGAAAGCCAAGAAGCAAGTCTGGCCACAATAGACTGGATTAACAGCTCAGGCTCTTTCTTCTCTTCTCTAAATACTCTGTCATTTCTCTCAGACCATATAGTGCTGATTACTGCTTCCGGAATGGCTCTCCAAATGCATTTGCCCTTTTTTGATAAGCCCAGAAGGTACCAGCTTTGAAACAGATCCTTTACTGTACCCGGCATTACCCAACAAACACCAACAGCATGAAGGAAATGAGACCGGATGGTCCAAGCGAACTTGCAATGAATACAGAGATGTTCACTCATCAAGACCACAAATTTCACAGCTAAGGTCATCTAAGCTGATACCTCTTCTTGCCAGATTGCTTCTTGTTAGGCATTTCCCTAGTGCTGAGGCCCGCATCAAGAAGTTGATTTTGGATGGAGATTGAGGACTCCAGATCTGTTTACATGGGAAGTCAGTTGCCCTTCTAATAGTCAGACCATCAGTAAAAGATCTAGCCGAGAACTTTCCATCAGCAGTCCAATTCCAGATCTATTGGTCTTCTAACTGGGGCTGAAAGGAAAATGTATTTAGGTTACTCAGCAAGTTCACAACTTCATCCACTTCCCAGTCTTGGATATCTCTTCAGAATTTGAGCTTCCACACCACTTCACCTTGGACTAACTCAAAAGAGTCAGCAACCATTGCTTCTTTATCCTCAGCCATTGAGAATAACTGAGGAAATTTCTCTTCCAAATATACATCATCAAGCCAAGCCATTTGTCCTTCCAGAAGTGGATTCTTCCCCCATACCTAACTTGAAACCCACTCCTTTTAGGACATCAGGAAGTGCTTTCATTATAGCTTTCCATAGCAAGCATCCATATGAAGGCAAGTTGATAGCAGTCATCCATCCTCCACCAGCCATTTTCTTCCACTCCAAATCTCCAAATCCACTTTCCCAATAAGGCTGTGTTGAAGGTTTTTATTCTTCTCAGTCCCAAACCACCTGAATTCCGTGGAGTGCAAATCAGATCCCATGCTATCATGTGAATCTTTTTTTCATCTTTCCATAAAAGTCTCTTCGTAATTTTTCTATTCTCTTTGCTATTGAGCTAGGGATGGGAAAGAGAGATAGAAAATACATTGGCAGATTTGCAAGAGTGCTTTTAATCAAGGTTACCCTTCCCCCTTTTGATAGGTACTTTGCCTTCCAGGAAATGAGTTTCCTCTCAAGTATTTCCTCCCAAATTGCTGTAGAAGAGCACTTTGCACCCAATGGAAGACCAAGATAGGTAGTTGGGAGCCTGTCCACTTACAACCCAGAGCTTCTGCCCACACAACTATGTCCTCAATTCTTCCCACCGGAATCAGAGAAGATTTTCCCAGGTTCAGTTTTAGCCCTGTTACCACTTCAAACCAAGAAAAGATTTCCCACTAGTGTTTCTAATTGAGCGAAAGAAGCGTCAATGAAACACAACGTGTCATCAGAAAAGTGGAGCACATTGACCCTTTCACCCCTTGGAGATTGAGGGCTCCTAATCTCAGTCTGACAAGTTTCAAAAAGTGGGTTCAAGCATGTATGCAGCCATTTCATGCTAAAATGGCAGAGATTAGGTTCATACAAGTCCACAACTCCAAAGATCCCAGATAACCAGGACCAGCACAGAGTAATAGCTTTTTTTTCTTTATGTGCAGTATCCAATGAAGTTTTATACAATGCAGCAAATGGTAATCACTATCAGCTCTGATACCTAAAAACTTGGTTTAATAATTATTTATATTATCTAAGGTTTTAACTATGTAAGACCAGGAGGTTCTTGTCCATGCTATTCTTTATCAATCAAAATCTAATCTACATAACAAGTTGAATAATAGTAAATCATGCCTAAAATGAATATCAAACCAGAACCAGAAGTATAACTTACAGTTTTTAAGGTTCTTATTTGTGTTCCTAACAGGGGAAAGCACTCCAAGTAGGGTCTTCCGAACTCCTGGGGGCTTGACACCAGTTTGAGTTTCTTTGAATGCCTGACAAAGGAGACAGTAAAATAATAACACAGACATCATTAAACTGATTTTCAGAAAGGTATTGCACAATATACAAATGAAAATTTCATGTTTGAAAGCTAAAAGCACTTTAGTCAAGGAAAACAAAAAGAAAAGCAGTATTTCAAGATGGGAAGATCCAGTTTGTTTTCCAGTGTTAATAAAAACAACAAATACAGCAAAAATGGAGAAACAGTATAACAATAAACAACAATAGTAAAACCTTGTATCTCTGGCTTCATGTATGTTCCATCATTAGAATGCAGGCTGACAAGCATGAAAATGCAGTTTTGATGATGGATAGATATAGATTAGAAAGATAGGTAGATAACAGATGTGTATATATGCATGTATACATTTAACAGAATCAAGAAAAACCCAGTTACAAACTGTAAAATACCCCATTAATGATTTCTACTTGGTTAACACAAAAATTCATTTCTATATACATAAGAAATCTTAAGTAAATGAAAATACCAATCCACAGAGTTCATACCTGCATGCGTGTTTTTGCTAATTCAATTGGATAGCAGGTAATGCAAGCTAAAGATCGTGCCACTGATCCTGCAACTAAGGGGGCATATGGTGTCAAACTAGGAGAATTCTTGGTTGTGAATGCTTCGATCCAGTTGCGGAGAATGTCATAGGATGGCAAGTAAATCCCCACCTGGTTGACAATTCAAAAAAAAAATCATTCACCACTATAAAAATCCCAGTGAAAAAGAATTTTATATCCACCCCAGCCAGGCTAGTGCTCTTGTTTCTCAGGGCCTCTGGGTTGTAGACTTGTAGTAATTCCTTAAAAGCAAGAATATTAGCTCTCATTCAAGGTTTAAGATTTACACTTATGTTTGGTTGGACAGAAATGCTTGTACAAGGTGACTATCAAGTAGTTTTCATTGGGTAAGTTCACAGAAAGAGATTCCTTGAATATTCAAGTTTCTAGTTAGAGAAGCAAGTGCACTAGCCCATAGTTGTCAAGGTGACGCCTAGGTAGGCACCTAGGTGACAAGGCACCCTTGGAGGCTTGCCTCACCTAATCACCAAGCAATATTGTACATTGTGTTATAAAATACTTTTTGTATTCTTAATTTTTTGAGATTATAATTAGAAACTAGATATTATTAAACTAAAACATTCATTTTGTGTGTTTATATACTAATTTCTTTTTATTATTTTCTTATTTGTTAGGGCTTAATCAACACAAACATTGCTAAATGCTGTATTGAACCTCAAAGACTTCAATATCTGAACCAATAAGGAAGAACTTAAAATTTTGTCTAATCAACACATTTTGTTCTTCTTCAACCTTTTCTTTTCTTCTTTTTCTTCTCATGAATATGTTGTTTTTTCTATACTTTAATATGAAGTTTATACTTTTCTTATGAAAATTATAGATAATTATAAAGGAAATATGTTTATGGAACCTAGGGAACTACCCTAGGATATATGTTTTCTACTTAAAAAAAAAAAATTCCATCACCTAGGCAACTAGCCAATAGCATGAACTGCTTGTTAAGGTGGTTCCCTAGTGCTTCAGATAATAGTTTAGCAAACTCTAACAAGAATAGGGGTTACAGAACTCCACACAGACCACAACCAAGGAATGTTTTGTAAAGAATTTTTTACAAATATCTCATTTTACTGTTGACTATAAAAAAATAGAAATTAATAGAAGATGAACTTAAAACAAAAAGAGAACTTACAGTTGGGATTGCCAGTGCTAAGTTTGCATTCGTACCTCTCCACAGTCTCCCAACTCCTTCCTGAGCAAACAAACCCGTGTCAAACATCAAACAACCAATAAAAAAGTGTAGTAAATGCAGAAATTCACTTAGCAAGAAAATCTGGATATTAGTGATAACTTTAAGGGAATAGCTTAGTCCTTCCTACTGTAAGAATAGAATTTGTACATATACTAGTGTAAATGGGTGTGGGTCAGGCATTCAGAGGGGTCTTGGCTCGAAGTACGACAGAAATTGAACCTTGGAAGAGTAGCTGTCAAAGGTAGCAGGGAAAAGGGGATTTCAGATCTCAGATCAGAGAGAGAGAGAGAGAGAGAAGGCAAAAAAGGGAGTCTCTCCTCTTCAAGGAATCCCTATTTTATAGTTTTTTTTTCCTGAAGACCTTTTCCCTTCATAATCAGGGGTGCAACTTTTGCAGGTTAGGGTTGGGATTTTGTCAAAATTTCATTGGACCCAACCCAAAACAGTGTAAAGTGTAAACTATTAGCTCGGGCCAACCCGACTTGCACCCTTATTCATAATTTTCTTTCTGGGATCCTTTCTAGAAGATTGACCCAATCGGTGCCATCTAGACTACTTGCATTCTCACCCTTTCCTGACATATGTGCAGGAAGACATGCAAACGCATGCTCTTACAACTAGTATAATCTCAATGTACTGTTCTTAACAATGTTTTAAATGGCATATGAGGCTTATGCCTTGAGGCTTACATCAAATCTCAACCTTGACACTCATACCCAAAAGTGTAAGCTACATTCCTTACACCTTGAATTAAATTGTGTATACATGTATGCACTTACACATATATACGTATTTATTCGTGCTTGTATCATCCTTCAACATGTTTAAAACTGTTTTGAGGTATTATTTAACATTTAGAGCTTTTTGATAGTTGTTAACTAGACTTTAAGAATGTGCCAACTTTCTCTCAAGCTCTTAATATTCTTAGTCCTTGTTTATGTAATCCATAGTTTTCAAGGCACCAAGGCGAGGCTAGGCGACAAGTAAAAACATGTATCCTAGGGTAGTTCCCTAGGTTCCATAGTCATATTTCCTTAATAAATATCCATAATTTTCATAAGAAAAGTATACATTTCATGTTAAAGTATAGAAAATCAACATATTCCAACATATTCATGAGAAGAAAAAGAATAAAGAAAAGAAAATTATATATATATATATATATATGCTGAACCCCTATTAGAAGAAGAAGAAGAAGAAGAAGAAAATAGTATATAAACACACAAAATTAGTAAAGAAAAAGAAGAAAATGTGTTGACTGGACAACATTTTATGTTCTTCCTTACTTATTGGTTCAGGTTTTGAAGTCTTTGAGGGTTCAATATGGCATTTAGCAATGTTAGTGTTGATTAAACCCTAACAAATAAGAAAATAATAAAAAGAAGTTGGTGTATAAACACACAAAATGAATATTTTAGTTTAAAAATGTCTATTTTATAATTATAACCTCAAAAAATTAATATAAAAGTTTTTTTATAACACGCTATAGAAAACTGCTTGGCAATTAGGTGAGGCGAATGGAGTTTATGCTTCGCACATCTAAAAGCCCTGGCACCTTGCCTTATGTCTCCACATTTTTAAACATTGCCTATTACGTAGATACTAGACATAATAAGTTTTATCTTTTATGATGTATGCTGTTTATAAAGCTTTATTTATTCAAGTAGAACCATATTAGAGAGCTCTCCCATATCAACCAAGTAGGCAGGGGGTCCAGCTCACAATTCTTCCTGTCAGTAAGTAAGGACTAGTCCAGGTTTAGTAACTATGTTAATCAAAAAATACTGTCGGACCTTAATTACTCATCACTGAAAAAAAAAGGGCCTAAGAAGAACCTATATACACAATGAAATCTTTAAACCTATGATACCACAGATACCCGTACAAGGTATCATATCATGTTGGATGCTTCCATTTTTAATGCAAATTCTGCATCCAACACCTTGTCCAGTTGTGTCCTTGCTGTATCTGGGTAATATAGTTTACAATTAGCACAGTTCTCCTTATATAGTCTTTAATGCACTCATAATTTAAGGCTTAAGTACAGAAACCTGTCGAATAATCTTGTAAAAGACATCCATTGTTCCTTTGTACCGAGAACACTCAGGAGTGCAAGCCATTTCAGCACCAAAATATCCAGCACGGGTACATGATGGAGAACATTTCAAATCTGAATACATCTGAATCAACATGTTCCAAGCAAAATTAATTGGCACAATCAATGCAATTAACAGAAAATAATAAAAAGTTCCATCTGAGAAACTCTCAAAAATATAAGAACCACCAACAAAATAGAAAAGGATACAGGGACAAAGTAGATTTTTCACCAAGGCAAAGATTCTTTCTATCATTAACAGATCAGAAATGATTTTATAAATATTATGAAAACAGTACACATGTACAAAATTCAAAAGTAGAGACTCCAATGCCTACCTCAATGTACAAAATAAAAAATAAAAACCTTCACCAAGGTAAAGGTGAAAGCTCTTCTTTCTGACTTAGAGGACCATCTAAATAGGAGCCTAACAATCTTGGTAGAGCAAGATAAGACTCCACAAATGCCAGTGAATGGAGTCATGGCTGTAAAAGAGTGGAGATTATCTGTCATGCTCAATCAAATGAATGCTTTATATATATATATATATATATATATATACAGAGATACTTTGTTGCCAAAGAATGCTTTTTGCATAACTGTATCACTTGTAATTTAGGATGGATTTCTATTTTCTAGCTTTTCATTTAATGCCCTTCCACATCATCTTTCTATAATCACTCCATGCTTTTAACATGAATCCTTTTTATCATTACCATCCAAGATTCAAGATTCAGAAAGGGGGTGGGGGTGGGGGTGGGGGATAGACTAGTTAACAAAACACTATGAATACAAATAGTTTTACTTCTATGACTTACAAATCATCTTACACCACACATCAACAACATTGTGTGTGGGGCCTGTCTGAACTTATAGTTGTCAGACCCACTTTAAATGACACAATGTTAGATATGTGTGGTATAAGATAATCTGTATGGCACAAAAAGGAGGAAATTGTATGATGAGCATTGCCCAGGAATTAACAAAGAAGCAAGCTACAGAAAAGAAGCAAGTTGGATCCAACAAAAAAAGACTGGCATGGAAAACAAGGTGAGGTGGCTGTACATCCTTGAACCCTGAGGTACTTTTGTAGTTTAAGTTGCAGAACTTGCAATAAGACTTCAATGATTGGTTTACAAGGAAAAGGAAACTAACAATAGACATGAGAAAGAGACACACATACACACACACACACACACAGGGGGATGGGCCCATACATATGTAAACCTTCAAGGTATTGAGCCCTAAGGATGTCAAAAGATCCCTGTGTGCATATTAGCCAAGATGCCATTGCTTGATTCTATGGTAAAATCTCCAGCTGACAAGCATGAGAATGCGGATTTGCATTTGACATGCAAAAATGTGCTGGAGGCTAGCGGTATCCAGTCCACCCCTCCCAAGACCCCAGATATATGGGACCAACATTGGTAGTGGCCCTTGTGTATATAAGGTAATGGTTAAGGACACCTCATTCGTTGCCCATTGTGACTGCATCACCAAAGCAAGGTCAGAACAGGATGCATCAACTTAATTCTATATTTAGGGTTAAGATACCCAAATAGAGTGCAATGGCAGTGTAGCAGGGCAAATATGGTTGGACAAGGCTTAGTTAAGTAGAGATACAAGGTCAGCAAACAGTGAGAAAAAAGTGCACTAAATCTGTCAGTAATATTTTAATAAAATGGTTCTTTTACCAGCATTAACAAAATTTCTTGTTTCAGCTCCCCAATAAAAGGTTCTAGCAATTTCTCTTACAAAAGAACAACAGTAAGATTGATGAGAATTCTTATTTCAAGACAAGATATCAAGAACACCAACTTCTACAACCAATAAATGAAAGAGCTACGTGAATTCAAACTTCAGTGTACCTTTCAGAAACTATAAAACATCACATGCACAAAAGCCCTTGCACAAGTTTTATGTCCATTTAAAGTTTGGTTAGCAACAGAAGATTAAACACCACATACCCTTTCTGGTCCAAGAGACGCCATACAACCGTTGACATGATGTCCTGAATGTGAATAAGGATCTGTAGCAGCCTGAGCTTGCAACCTTGTCTAGAGGGTAAAGGAAGAATCAGGAATATATATTATACCCTTTAGTCTTAGCAGATCCTACATTTTAAGTTATGCACTACGCAGTCAAAGCAACTAACAAAAGGATGAAATCCCCTAATTAGAGGAACTCCAGAAATGAAGACATAAAAACAATACAAGTACATACAATGTACATAAATATATACCAAAGAAAAATCCATAGGAATAAGCATAATCAAATTAATGATAATTCTGTTCTATGCATTATACCAAAGAAAAGAAGCAAACATAAATTTGTTCTATCTATTATCTACACATCCCAGGAAAAAGGCAAAGATAAATTCAATCAGAACTCAGCAATACACATATCGTAAAAAATAAAAGAGTAATGATGATGATGATGAAATGATAACTTCTCGCGTCTACCCATTTCATTTGAATAAAAGAGAAAGCAATAAAGGGAAAAAAACAGCTTAGCTTGTTCAAACAATTGGAAGAAGAAGAACTTCATAGTAACAGTAGGAAAACGATTGAAAAAACAAGCGAAAGATATGTTACGATAGAAACAACAATCTCTAAAAAACAGAGGAAGAAAATAAGAATGTGCATCTTCTAGGATCACATGAAAATAAATAAAAACTATCGAACTATTGGGTAATTAATATATTAATATGGCGACATCAGTGCAGTAACTAAATAAAATAATGGAAGAATAAGGAGAATAGTAGATACCTTGGCGACGTCAAGGGGATTAACAAGGATTACAGACAGAAAGGCTGCACCAGCTGCAGAGAAGGCACGTTCTCCGAAACCCAAATGAACATCAGAAAAGGTGTTAGAGTGGTTAGGTTGGGAGGGGGAAACTTTCCTCCTCCCTGTTAACATGGCCTCAGGCATTGAAGAAACTTCCCCGTCGAAAGCAATTCTTGATGCGGCTGCAATCATCCATGAAGGGAGGGTATCTACCATCCCTTTTGAGTCTTGAGTTTTGAGTTTTGAGTTTCTCTCATTCTTTACACCCAAAAACTCAGTGCATGAAAACAGAAATAACCAGAAAAATGTTTCCCAATCCCAACAATTCGATTCTTTTCGTGTAATACTCTTCAAAAATGAAAACAAAATAAGTACTGGAATTGGAAATGGTAGACTAGAAACAGAGATTACCCCCGGAAGAGAAGCAGGGAAGGGAAGGGGAAAACTTCTTTGTTCTGTCGGTTGAGGCTTCTGAAAAGAGAGTAATCCCGAATTCGAAACGGTTGGGTCTGTAGAAAATGCGAGGGAGGAGGAGAGTAAGCGGTTGTGTTTGGTGTGTATGAATCATTTCATTATATACGAGTACGAGAAATTGATATCATATCATGGTTCATGGGAGATGCTCAGTATTAGTTCTCTCAGTGATGGAGAGAGACGCATGCAGATTGCAGAGAGGGAGAAGAATTTTATTTGAATATGTATGAAGGATGAATGGGAGAAGGAAGGGGAAATTGATTACATTACTGGTCATGTGTAGCTGTGCGCCCGCGCCAGCTTCCATTGATGTAGGAGGTCCATCAATTGGAAGTATGGAATCAATTTTGCTTCTCGTTGCGGGTGTGAATTGGGGTGTCGTCGTGAATAAGACATATGGGTTCCGCCGAGTTGCCACGTGTTCACACGTTGGGCCGGAGCTTCCACACAAAAAAAAGTGTGGTGATCATGTGTCAGCGTTTCCCTTGAGTGACGGGATCTGCTCTCACAAATGAGCGCCTCATATGTACATCCACCGTGCATTAGGAACATCTCCCGTGAATAATAACTAATAAAAACGGGAGATGTTCCCAATGAATGATAGGGTGTGCGTGTGAGGCGCCAAGTGTAAGGAGCAGATCCAGTCTCTCCCCTTGAAGCATCACTTCCAACGATAGAAAGGCAGTGAACATCTTTCATACTTATTATTCACGGGAAATATTACTAATGCACAGTGGATGTACACGTGAGACGCCCAAGTGTGAGGAGCAGATCCCATTCCTGATTCAACCATGTGTCGTAGGTTGAAGAAAGAAATTGAGTCATTGAATTTGCATCACCGCCCCACACGATGTGCAACTGACACCTGTCCAGTCGCATGCAGTGGGGTGTTCCCGTGTGCAGGGCTAATGGGACGGACATTAACCCGGCCCGTTAGCCCCAAAATGAACTCAAAAGGGCTTTAATCTGTGACTCAGCGAGTTTTTCCCATATTCCCGCCCCTGAAGCTCAAATCAGAGGCTCTGACCCCGTGTTGTCTGCCCGAGCTCGGATCTCCGCCCCCATCTTCGGCACTGGCGATCTCTCCGTCACATCCCCGAGCATAGAATTTAGATAATACCATTCTCTGTGTTTTCGCATGGTCATTATGGTTGGTACATGCAGGGGCATTTGGGAATTAATTAGTCGATGTATGGTTGAACCATAGAAATATTACCAGAAAAGATGGAAAAAGTAGACTCCTTAAAGTAGATCCACTCAGCACAAAAATGACTTAAGCTTGATTTTATGGTTGACTTTATGTTGATATATGGTTGATTTTATGACTTTATGTATCAAACAGATTTTTTTTTCACAAAAATGATTGAGCGTTTGAGGTTGGATTTAGTAGACTCCTTAGTTTTTCCTTCATAGAGCATTGAAAAATACCGATACAAAAAACGGTGGCCGGAGTGATCGCCGGTGCCGGAGTGGGAGGTGGAAGAGGGTAAAAAACGTCTATGGTTTGAAAAGAAAAACAAAGCATCAAAGGAGGGTTTAATGAAAAAACCAAAGCCCCCGACAAAAAACGAGGGTTAGAACTTACCTGGTGATCGGGAATATGGGAAAAGCTCGCAGAGTCGCAGACTAAAGCCCTTTTGAGTTCATTTTGGGGCTAATGGGCAAGGCTAGACCTGTTCATGGGCTGGGCTGAGCCGGGCTCGGGCCGGGCTTTTGCTCTTTATTAACATAAACTTTTTAGGCCCGAGCCCGAGCCCGGCCCTCAAAAAAGCCCGAAGTCCGGGCCCAAGCCCGAAGCCCGACTTGGGAGTCTGAGCGCCGGTGCCGTCTAAGAGAATGGTGCCTGTTGAGTTTGCCGATTCTTGGGAGTTTAAGAGTGAGAATAGAAACCCAAAAAGTGAGAAATAGAAGATGACAACAATGCCAAGTAGAGAGAGAGAGAGAGAGAAAGAGAGCTCATTGCTCGAGAGAGAGAGAGACGATCTAGATTTGGTGGTGCCAGCCGGCGGTGCCTGAGTTCGCAGAATGAAAACGGTGTGCCTGGGTTCTGGTGGCGCCGGCTGGAGAGAGAACCGAAAAGATAGAAGACCTAGTTCTAAGAAGAGAGAGAACTGAGAATGAGAAGAAAGAAGATGAAAACGGTGCCAGCTAGAGAGAGAGAGATCACCGCCAAAGAGAGAGATGACTAGTTCTGGTGGAGTCGGTCGTCGGTGACTAAGTTCGCAGGTGTAGTTGGGTTCACTGGTTCTGAGAGTTGAGAGGGAGAAATGAAAGTTGGTTTTGAGAGTGAGAGTGAGAAAGGAGAATGAAAAGAAAAATTTTAAGTATTTAGGGTTAGGGTTAGGGTTAGGTAGTTTAGGAAAAGTCGGGCCAGGCGGGGCTCGGGCTGGACTTTTTTAACAAATCCCGAGCCCGGCCCGTAAAATAGTCGAGCTCGGGCTAAAACACATGCTCAAGCCCGTCCGGGGGCCGAACCGGGCCGGGCCGGCCCGTCGGGCCACCCGGCCCATGAACAGGTCTAGGCGGGGCTAATGTCCATCCCGTTAGCCCCGCACACAGGAACGCCCCATTGCACGCGACTGGACAAGTATCAGTCGTTGTCGTGTGGGGCGAGGCATGATGGGACGATGATGCAAGGTTGAATTGGAATCCCATTCCCATTCTTGGTAGAATGACATTCCCCCATTTGAGAGAATAAACACTCCCTCCCCTCCTTTGAGAATGAAATCCCATTCCAGTTGATGACAATTCCCATTCTGATTCTTGTTTGAATAAAAAAAATGATTTGATTCTAATGGATTTCGATTTGATTCAAATTCTGATTGTGAACCAAACAGACCCTAAGGGGAATTAGACGTGGAATCGAGGGAAACCAAGAGGAATCAGAATTGGAATGGCCAATTCCAATTGTTTGTTTGGTTGAAATGGGAATCTAATTCCTATTCTTGGCAGAATGGGATTCCCTTGTTAATAAAATATTAATAAAATAGTAATAAATATAATATTATAATAAAATATTAATAATAAAAATATCAATATAAATTATTAAATAAGAAAATAATAAATATTAGTAAAGTAATAATAAAATAATAATAATATATTAATAAAATATTCACAAGTTAATAATAAATACTAAGATATTAGTTATTAAATAATAGTAAACTATTAATAGAATAATAAATTTGTAATAATTCATATTAAAGAGCTAATAAAATATAAATAAACTAATACAAAATTGAAAATGCCTGATTGATTCTAATTCCAACTTCAAATGAAGCAAACAACGAAAATTAGAATTTGATTCTTATTCTTATTTGAATCAAACAGTCATTGGGAATAGGCGATTCCATTTCCAATTCCAGAGTATTCTGATTCCAATTCTTTTTATAACTAGTGGACTAAGAATTGATCACCCCAAATGGATATGATGAAATCTAGATGCAACAATAATACAATGTATGTATGTATGTATGTATGTATGTATGTATGTATGTATGTATGTATGTATGTATGTATGTATGAACTCATAAGAATGGATACTACACTTTATCCTTGCCATAAGGCCTAGAAAGGTATCCTATATGTAAGTGTAAACATTGGTTCATTTTGTGCATCATATGTCATATCGGATGGTCTAGATTGGTTGTTGAAACAGGGCCGGCGTACACCACTTGAATGAAGGATAGCTAAGTTTTGATCTTATAGCATGACCAGTAGTTAGGGTTTGTTTAGTTCCCTAGAATAGGTGCCTAGCATTGAAATTGGAATGGGCCATTATGATTCCAACCATTTGTTTGTTTGAAATGGGATTTTGATTTTCATTTTTGACGGAATGAGATTCTCCTATACAGGGGGAATAGCCATTCCAAGCTCCCCCTTGGGAATGGGATTCTCATTCTAGTGATTCCAATTTCAATTCCAATCTTGATTGCAAACCAAATGGACCCTTAGGTTCAAGTTGATTTGTTTCCTTAGAATTAGACATCAAACTCAAAACGGATTGGAATGCTATACTATCAATTAATAAACTAAAGCACCGCTATTAATAACATAAACTAGAAATAATTTTTATATTGATATCATAAGTCTTGTATAATTTAAATTGCCTGAAATTAGTTTCTATGAAATTTTAGTCCATGTTTTTTCTAGAAAAAATAAGAAGACTTCAAATTGACTTTGCTAATAATAAATCTATATCTATACTACTATTAAAAGTATGAATGATGTCTAGATTTTAGATTTTTTCTAGACTAAAATACCCCTACTTTTGAATTTGGTACCTCTTTACTATGATGGTAAAAAAACATAATTTGAATCACTGCTTTTAAGGTCATTCATTCTCTTTTCATTAATTCTGTATTTAAGGTATATTAAATAAATGAGCTTTGTGATTTTTTCTTGACTAAAAGGCCTCTACTTTTGATTTTAGTCCCTCTGTAATTGTGAGGGAAAAATCATGATTTGAATTATAAATTACTTTTTATTTCATTCAATTTCCTCACATTAAGTCCTAATGTCCTATGCTTAAGGTGTAAGCTCTCATATTCTCTCATTGGATCATTTATTTAAGGTATTTTTTCTTTCATACAAACCACAAAAATAAAATCATTCTTCTGTTTGGGTGGTGAGCAAGTAGTTAAATCATTTAAGCCAAATGGGTCAATCCATGGTGTCATTGCTAAATAATAAAAAAGTAAAAATACAAAAAATGTGAAAAAAATTGGGCATGCCTCTAATATTGTATACTTATTATATTAAACAAAAATAAGTATGATAAATAAAAGGTATTCTTATTAATGATGGAAATGAAATACAAAATTTAAAATTGACTAGAAAAAAAAATGTATTCCTATTCAAGTGATGGGTCAATGGTTCAACCTTTTAGGCCAAATGGAACAATATATGATGTAATAATTAAATAATAAAAAAAATTAAAATGATAGAGACACAAAATTTTGTAAAAAAAAAACATTTAGATACATCTTTGATATTATGTATTTATCATACTAATAAGCGTGCACATGCTTTGTACATGGCAATTCTATATAATGATAATGATATTAATAATATATCCAAAATTTTCTATAACTTTTATGTATTTTATATTTTTTTGTTTTTATTATTAATCGGATGTATGTTGCAAAATCCAAATCTGATTACATAAACACCTCATCCAAATATGTGATAATCGATTCGAGTTGTGAAGTTTCAAGTTTCATTGATAGGACTACCTAATTGGCTAGACTCTTCTCTTTGTAGTGTCTTATCTTTTTTTTATGTATTTTTTTTCTTTTGTTCATTTATCAAATGTAAGATTTAAAATAAAGGAAATTGAATGAAGTGAAAATTAG